ACAATAAGGAAACAAAATTTCCATTAGAACCTGCAGAAAGGAATACATCTCTGCTGACCCCTTGGTTTTAGCCAAGTGAGACCAGTGTGGGATTTAGGACAAATAGAATTGTAAGATAACAAATGTGTTGTTTTAAGCTACTGGGTTTGGTAATTTGTTAAATAGCAATAAAAAAACTCATAGAGAAATTAATTAGCTTTAGTCTGTAGAGAATAATTAATGTTATTGTAAAAATTTCTCTTCTTGTCAAATGTCCTCATTCCTCTTTCCCAAAACACTGAAATGATTTTCTCCCAGGTATGAATCTTAGCTCTGCTCTCCATCAAGTTGTGAACTCACTTACCCTATGTTGAGGGGAGAAAATAGAGTGTGAAGACTGGTATTTGGGTGTAATCCTGCAAAAGGGAGCTTTTGTGACACTTCCAGGAGCAAAAGAAGGAAGTAATGTACGAGACTGCAATGAAGGGGTTGTCACTTACTGAAAACAATGAGATGGAACATCTGAATAAATGCTTTTCCTTCAGTTAAGTCACCTATAGCCTGGTACCGCCCACTGTCCTCAAGGGTCAGATTCTCAGTCCTCAGGGTTGTCATAGTGGGCACATGGACTCTCTGCTTGTACTTGTCCTGGAGAGTGACCCACATTGGAGAATCTGTCCATTTATAGACATGCAGCATGACTCTGTAGTCTGACTCAGGGCCAAATTGCCATGAAATCTCCTTCAGCTCTGCTCCTGGATCTACTCCTGGCTTCATGATCACATGAAACAAGTTAGAATCTCCTTGGATCTCCTTCAAAGGAACAAAAGCTCCAGAATCCTTAGTTCCAGAATCATGCGCTACAGAACTCTTGGCCCCAATGCTCCAGACACCTTGTATATGGAAATAGAAATCATGAATGTTTTTTCATCAAGAACAAATGAGAGAACCACAGAGCACATGTTTTTTTTTTTTTTTAAAATAAAATCCATCCAATATATGTCCTTGATTCTGGGAAAATCAAAGACTACAGCCTTCAGTATGGATTACACCTCAACATAAAGTAAACAAAAGTCCTCATAACTGGACCAAAAAGCAACCTGATACAGTGAAATTAAAATAAACCTGTGTTGAAATTTCAAATTTGATTACTTTAGATTAATTAAGTGAATCAATTAAGCCATACTTCCCTTTCCTGTAAAATGATGGTATCAATGCCTTTGTCACAGGGTTGTTTTAAGGATTCAATGAAGTAAAGTATCTCAAGTGCCTAGCACAGTGTCTGGAAGTGCTAAGCAGATGTTTCTTTCTTCTTTGGGAGCAGTACCCTAAACAACCCCAGATATGGGACACCATCAGTTGTTCTCTGCTGTGTTTTTTTTTTTTT